GGGCAGGAGCGCCTGGGCTCCTGTGGGGTCGGCGTTGGTGATCCAGTAACGCAAAGGCTTTATGGGGTGGTTGTTGCTTTTTTCACGTTGCGTTTAGCCAAAGGCCAGCAGCCTGCCCCTCTGTCTGTGTGCGAGGGCACTGCTGCAGGCCTCTCCCAAACCGGCATCCCTGCCTGGCGGCCAGTGCCTGGGCTTCTTCCTGGCATGGGGAGGTGGTCACAGAGGGTTCTTTTTGTTTGGGGAATTTCCTCAGGAGTCAGGTATACTCTCAAGTATGCAATTAACAGTTTGTGTTATGTGGCATCTTTGACGTTAAAGCAAATATATTTTCTGCCTACTAATACGGGGGTGTCTTGCGGTTTGTTTTGTTTTCTTTAGTATTTATGATCTTGCATTCAAACCAGATGGGACTCAATTGATAATTGCTGCTGGAAATAGGCTGCTGGTAGGGAAACTTTTCTTTCCTCTTGCAGTTACAGCTGTATGAATATGATTTCTTTCACATTAACTTATGAATATAACCCATCAAAAATCCTCTTATCTCTATTAGTCCAGCCTCATATCCACATATATATTAATATGTGCTAACTGTAAAGTGTTTTGAAGCTTTTTAATGTTTCTTACCAAGTTTTAAGCTCTATTTCCTAAAGTAATGAGATTTAATTTACTTGTGTCATGTCATCCTTTTGCACCTCATCCGCTGGTTTGAAATCCGTTAACCTGCAACCAAACTTAGGACAATGGCATGGTATACAAATACTACATTGTTACAAGTATCATGCAAATCTCTGAAAAGGGGAAAGAAATTCAAATTGATGTCCCTATTTTGTGAGAAGCATCAACTAGAGCTTTTTTGCGGTTCTCTGGGTCCCCTTGCCTGCTGCTAATCCATCAGCAAGCACAGCTCAGGACTGCGCTTCTCACAGTTCCTGCAGAGCTTTCAGACGGGGCAGGTGTAGAAACTGCGGGGATGGGTGGATGGCACGATTACAGAGATGTAGCTCCGAACTGCAGTACAGCAGGCTTTGTTATATACAGTGCTCGCAGAACGGTGTATTTAGTGATGGTCCTTCTAGTAATTTATTAAGTTTAAACATCTAATGTGGGGAAAGAAGTAGAACAGGCTGGCCGGATGAGCTGTTTGGAAACTTCTTTTGTGCATGTTATTTTCTAATACTGAGTCTTCTTTCATTCTGAGAAGTATTATGCTAAGGAAAGCTGCTTCTACACTTTAAAACGTGTTGTCTTGCATGGACTGTATGCTATGCAAAAAAAGCAAACACAAAACAAAGTGTGTAATTTTATTGGCCTTCGGTAATTTTATATCCTAGTTCTCACTGGAAGATCTTTTTAGGTATGGTTTTCTGTTTGTATGTTTGTGTTTTGGGGATTTTTTTTATTTCCCTGTTTAAATAGGTGTATGATACTTCTGATGGAACCTTAATTCAGCCTTTGAAAGGACATAAGGACACTGTATACTGTGTGGCTTATGCTAAAGATGGTAAATATCACTCGGGGGGGCTTTGTTAGTCTGTTTTGTAAAGTGCACATCTTCTGTTTCTTACTGCCAATTGGTAAATAGAGCAATTAGATTTGTTTCAGTAACAGTATTTTGAACACGTGTCTTAGTGTGGTGTTTTGTTTGTTTGTTTTTTAATGGAGAGTTTGAGCTGCAGAAGTACTGTATTTTTACACATAAGGCTACCTGTGAATTCCAGAAATGTAGTCCCCATTTCCCCTCCCCCTCTGCTTCAGTCATGGTTTCTATTGTGGGGTAATGGGAGGAGAAGGCTTACCCCAGAGATCCCTCTTTCTAGTACTCCACCTGCCTCTGATTTTTATTCCCAGTTTCTCTGTCCCAGGGCTTCCCGATCTTCTGATCCTTCACACATTGCCATGCTTGCTACAGACCTTATTCTGCTGCCAGTACTTTCATTGTCTCTGATTCTCATTCTGTGGGGACTTACTGTCTGTGGACTCGAAGGACTTCCTCTCAAATACTATTGTTTAAGTTACAGGTGATACCTGTGAAAATGTGCCATTTTTCCCTTGACACTGTTAACATAAATCTCTGTCCCGTGACGGGCAGCGTTGGAAAGACTGGCTACTTGCTGGCATGGCTGGGCTTTAATGAGCGTGCTGTGTGGGAATAACAAAATAAAGTCATTGGAGTTGGAGAAGCGCAGTCACATCAAAATACTTGCAGTGTTAGGCCCTTTATTACTTGAGCCTTGTCAAGTTCAAGAACTTCTTGCTCTGTCTTTGATTGGGTATTTGGAATGAAAGTGATTCTTGTACGTGTGGGATTTAAATTATATTTAATTCCTAGGCAAACGCTTTGCATCTGGCTCGGCTGATAAAAGTGTGATAATTTGGACTTCAAAGTTAGAAGGAATTCTGAAATACACGTAAGTGATGCCTTTCAATTCAAAAGGGACTTTGATTATGCACTTCTGCTATCAAAGAGTACGTGCTGTTAGATTTGGAAGAAGGTTGACTAAGGTCAGAGAAAATGCCAAGGGGTAATAGGAGAGGGAAGAGGAAAAGAACAGTTGAAGTATCTGAATGAGGCAGGAAAGCAATTAAAGGCATAAAAGAGTGTGGGAAGTCTAGATAAATCTCTCAGTTTAGAGGTCTGGCAGAGAACTGTGGAAACTCTGTATAGATCGAAATAAAAGGAAACAGAATGCGACTCTGATCTTGTATAATAAACAAAATTAACATAACTCTGGTTCAAAGACCAAATTAAAGATAAGATTTAGTACTTTCAGTATATTTCCATCTTTTGTCTGGCTTTGTTTTTATGTCATCCCTCTTAGGTGACATCTTCAATATCTCTTTCTGGATGTGTGTGTACATTTATTACTAATTAGTGTGCACAAGCTAGTATGCTACTAGGAACATACACAAGCATACTTGTTTTAGAATTTGGCAATAACCTTTAATCATATTTCACAAACCATCATCTGCATACATTTGTAGCTACTCTTGATGAAATACAGTGAATCCTGCCACTTAGAGACTTTTTTTTTTTTTAAGGTTTATTACTGATTTAGTTTACAGTAACTGCAGATTAATTTGATGTAATATAAACTGATCGAATTATTTCTGGCATCTGGTAGACCTTTCAGCTATCTTGCTGAAAGTCAGTAAAAGGAGCATTTAAGAATGAGTTATTGAAATATGATTGTAACTTCATTCTAGGCATAATGACTCTATACAGTGCGTTTCATACAATCCTCTTACACATCAGTTGGCATCCTGCTCTTCCAGCGACTTTGGTAGGTCTTCTTCCTCTAACTTTGCCATTAAGCCAGTAAATACTATTAAAGTTGTATAGCTAAGCTAACTACAGATAGCTACAGTTCCTTATATTCAGACAAGATGAGATACAAAACTACCTAAAGTTAAGTAACATTAGATGCTTATTTAAACCTCTTAAACTCAGTTGGAAAGGACTATGTAGTGAGGTGCCACAGGGTAAAATGTACTACCTTGTTACTACGATTTTTTGCAGAGACACCCTCTGTGTTACCAAGATGGACTTTTTCCCCATTTACTGATAAATAATATGTATTTAAATGTCCTCCTAGCAGTGGCTGAGACTTTCATCCCTCTGAAGTCCCAGCTGAGTTTTCTGACAAAGTTAGGTTCTGATCTGAACCCTGGTAAATGTTTACTTGTAATTTACTTTGGCTTTTTGTTTGCTTTAATCAAGGCTTGTGGTCTCCTGAACAGAAGTCAGTCTCTAAGCATAAAACTAGCAGTAAGATTACTTGCTGTAGGTAAGTTTTAAGAATTACCTGTGTCATTTAAGTTAGTTTTGATATAAACAATTCAAAATAATATGCAAGCTTAAAGAAAAAATGTTGAAGTGAAATAGTTCAACGTATGCAGAGACAGCACCCACTAGTATGAGAGGCTCTCCTGCCTTGCTCTTCGGTAGCATTGTGTACTTGGTGCTGCTTTGCCATTCTCATAACTAAAATACCTGCATAGCTTTTATAATGCTCCAGTAGGAATACGACTAATATTTATCAAAGGCGATTTGTTCTTTCTTGCATAGTCTTATCAGAGAGCACTTTATTTTTAATGGCAAAGGGGTTTGGTTTTTATTTGGTGCTGTTTAGAACTGAATTCAGAGAGGTGTTCTGGTCTTGAGCAAGTGTCTTTTCTCTCCCTCTGTTTAGCCATCTTGTGCAGTAACAATAAAATGAAGTTAGAGGAAAAATAATGATATTTTTGTTGGTAGAGCTGTTAATCTCCTGTGTTGTTGGTGTTTTTAGTAGAAGGCGATACTGCCATTATGGGGAACCTGAAGCAAGGGTACATTAACTTGTGTGAAGTCATCCATCGCGCTACAGCAGAGACGAGAATAGAAACTGGATCTCCTCTGTCCCAGCACCATGCAGTTTTATCTGATCAATGTTCTAAATGTGGCTTTTAAAACAGCCTGGTCTACTGCCAACGCTGTCATCCCAAAAAATGTATCTGTTACTTAGCACATGTTAGAAGTATTGCAAGCAGATGAGAGCTTTAGGGTTTTTTTTTATTTTATTTCTACATGTTTTTTATTTCTGTGTATATAATAAAATGTTCTTGCTGTAGTGCATGCTGTTGCCATAAATGTGGATTTAGATGCATAAACAAACTGTAGGATTACTGGCTACCTCCCAGAACTCCCTCTTAGAAGTATATTTCAATCTATCATCCCTATTTGAGTATGCTGTACCATCCTACCTTCCTGCTGCTTGTTTTTAGTAGTTTGCTCTTCAGTATGTGTGTGTTTTATCAGCTGGACAAATGATGGCCAGTACCTTGCTTTGGGGATGTTCAATGGCATTGTCAGCATACGGAATAAGAATGGTGACGAGAAAGTAAAAATAGAGCGTACAGGGGGTGCTTCATCTCCAATATGGTCGATTTGTTGGAATCCATCCAGGTAAATAATTTCATCCTTCCTTTTTTCATGCTGAATAGATAATCCTTGGCTTATTGATTGCCGAAAGGCTTGATTTTTATCCCTGCTGAAACAGATTAATGCCAAATACGTTACCTTTTTTAAAGTGATTATGTATTGGGGTTTTAGCTTGCTGCCAGTCTTTAATTGAATGGAGAAACTGGGAACGAGTTCCACTTAGATCTCAAACGTTTATTTTTTCTTTTGTATTGTTTTTGGTGGGTGTCTGTTTGGATTAGGGGAGAGAGAGGGAAGCTGTTTTTTCACTTCAATTCAGAGGGAATATTGTCCCAAATATAAGAATAAACAATTGCCATTGCAGTAGGTGGGAGAATTTTTGGAGTAGAGCAGATGACCAAGAGGAGTCAGTTCACAGCTATTTAAACGAGATACGAGAACTGCCATCCAGGCCTGGCAGTAGGAAGCATAGTCAGACAGAGGGAGAAGACCAGGAGGAAGAAGAGACCTCTATGGATTTCAAGTTGTGAGTGAAATGTCAAAGGAATGTATATATCTCTATTATTTAGAACAGTAATTTACAAAAAGGGCAGAGAGTATTATGCAGGCTACAAAATCAGACATTCAAAAATTAGGAAATTCTAGATTAACAGTTGCCTCTATTGTCTTAATTCTGCCAGTGTGTGTTCATTATGAGATAGTTCTTAAGTATGTGATAGCATGCTGCTTTACCCCACAGGTGCATGCATCACGCATTGAGCAAAGGGAGGGTGCTTACTAAACCGTTAGGTTTTCATTAGTTTTTTTGTCTGTTTCCTTTTTGTTCGGTTTATGGCTAGAGGCATTATTTGCAGCATCTCCCCTCTTCTTAGGCAAGAAGCTGTGGAGAAGGTGACTCTCATGTTTTGCTCCAAGCTGAACAGATCATGTCAGAGTACCAAATTTAACAAATTTGGGACCTGAAGCCTTTCCTCAGTCTGCTGCTGGTCTCACACAATTTTTATTTATTTTTTTTTTTCCCCCTGCCTTACACTGGTAATTGTAGTTCATTCCTG